TTTAATAAACAGAGTAGAATAATCATGGCTGATAGTAAGACATGCAAACGTAAAAAAAACCAAACTGGAGGCAAGAACAGCTGTTACTTCTTGCCCAACTAGTTAATGAAAACAAAGACATAATCAAAGGAAAATTTGGAGTTGGGATAACCTTTAAAACCGAAGGCAATACCTTTATAAAAGCACATTATCGTCAAATATTTCTAAAATGTTTACGCTCTGAGGCAGGTTGCTGGCAACAGCCATTTTAGGAATAGTTTGTGGTTTGGTCTTACTTAGGAGTCCTCTTCCCTACTCCTAATGTTACACAGATTTAGGAGCTAGTTTTAGAGCTAAAATGCTTTGTGAAATACTTTTAGAGCAAAAATTTAGGAGTACTAAATTTAGGACTGACACGCCCATTATTTTTAAGATTTTCTCCTAAATCGGTGAGTTACAAGCTACTTTTAGCCTTACGATGTTTTGTGAATACGGGCCCAGTTTCCTAACCTTTTTTTATTTTACTTTTCAGAGCGAGCCTGAAGAAATGCCACCCGAGGCAAAGATGAGAATGAAGAATATTGGCAGGTTGGATTTATACATTTTTAAAACTTTCAATTTTAGATTTCATTGTAAGTTAAAGTACTATACAGCACTGTTTACTACATCGTCATGTGTTATTTTGATTTTCAGAGAAACACCCACATCTGCTGGACCCAATTCCTTTAACAAAGGAAAGCAGGGATTCTCAGACCATCAGAAACTTTGGGAGAGGAAGCTTAAAACCCAGGCAGATCAGTAGTGTCTGGCTGCTTTCTAGATTGCTTTTTGGCACTGAAATATTTGCCCTTTTTGTCTCTTCGTTTGATGAACAATGTACAAATGTATTTATGTAATGAATGTTTACGCTATAAAGCATCTTTTTATTATAGCTACTTTGATTTTTTTTTTTTAACCACATGGTTAAATAATGCCTTCCTGTGTAAGATGCAAACCACAACAGAGAAAATTAGAATACTCTTTCTCGCTGTACAATATGGTTTGTGCCACACCGACCTCTGTTATCATTCTCTTATAGTTTAATTGTTCTCCAGAGAAGGAATGTAGTGGCCCAATCGTTTAGGATTGTTTCATCAAGACATTGTAGTTTATAAAGTCATTAATAAATGAAAGATGTGGTATCACTTTGAAGAGCTTTTTTTTAATGTTGTAATCAATGTGGTAGACAGTTAAACAACATGAAGGTAAGTAAATTACATGATTTTAATTTTTTTTAAATTACTTTTTTTAATTCTAATACTTTTTAAAGTCACTATGTAAAGGATGTAGTGACAGATCTTTTTTTTCTGTATTGTACATCCAAGTGAATTATTTAATTGTTGAGCAGAAATAATGTAGAGCGGGTTTGGTACAATCCAGGTAATTGATTGGACAGATTTGAGCTTGCAGATGATTGTAACAAAGGGACAGGTTTAAGACTAAATGGACTAATGGTTGGAGAGGTTCGGCAAATGTCACCTGAAGAAAGTCTCATTTCAACATGGATTTAGACAATATATTGGGAAAGACAGAATTTCATGCCAACTTTAAGAAAGTTGGCATGAAAGCGAAGTGATTTTTTTTTTTCTTCTTTTTTGTAACTTCAGTTTCAGAAAGATGGCAAGATCAGTTATAAGACATGCAAAGAAAACTAGTATTTAAAATATTTTTTATTAATGCAGAGACTACAATAACTTTATACTGTTCCTGAACCTTTGGTCAACAATTGCATTAAATTTCACTCATGATATTATTATTATTATGGATTTCTGTCATACCATTAATTACAACGTTAAATCAACATTTGTTGAAAAACAAGTTTTGCTACATCACTGATATTATGAAAAGATACTACAATGTATTTCTTAAGACCCAAAACTAGTACAAGTAGCTTTTTTCAGCACAGCTTGGGGCTTTTTTTGAGGACAGTGACCTGAAACTCCAGTTATTAAAATGAGCAAAGGAAATTACTTGTATTTAATGGAAGAATATAGTATTTAAAAGAATATCTGTTGCAGTATTAAAATGTATCAATTGATAGACTACATGAACTTTATTTCTGAAACTTTGGTAATAGTTTTGTGCAAATTAAATCACATTAAACTTCACTTAATCCATTATTATTATGAAATTGAAGTGCCATGAAGGTTTTTTTTTAAAATATATATATATAAGTTTTGACACTTCACTTAGATACTCTAAGATACAACAATGTCCAGCTCTAGACCCAAAAGCAGTACAAACTTTGACACTAAACAATAAATAGTGCATTAATATTGCCTTAAGAGGAACTTCAGAACCTAAAAAGTCACCTCACAAATAGTATTAAAGTATTTAAAAAGGATGTGAAAAAATAAAGCCTGTGTTTCTTAATGAAGTGCTCAATTGCTATTTAAAAAATAAAAACATGTTTTACATTTATTTGTTTTTACAATGTTTACATTCTTTGCTGCTCTCAGCATACAATTTATTTTGCAATAAAATTGTTGCAATCGAGTATTTGAAGTGAATTCTAAAAGGTAACCAAAAGGCTGCGTGCCTTCATCAGACGTTTCTGGCGTTTCAGTAAGTTCTCCCGCTTTTGGCCAATATCAGAGTCTTCTTTAAGCAGGTTGTCTATGCCATCTTTATCTTGCAGTAACTGCAACATGTTTCTTTGCAGCTCCAAAGCTGCTTCCTGGAGCAGCAGATAGCGGATCACCATTGGGATCTGGTCAGCTAGACGCTTGCTTGCAATCTAGTGAGGTAGATAAGACAATGTCTCAGATATACATTTAAATTCGAGCTACCTCTGACAAAACTGAAAGCTTTAGTTAGCACACTTACCATGTAATAGGACTCGAGGTGCAACCTCATCTCACGCAAAGTGGCATGATTACCTGTGCCAACGTCTACACTCACAATACTACTCCTTTTAGGTTTAAATGCAAGCTTTTCATTTTCTGCCTTTTCCAGCTTGTCCTTTGCATGTTTCAGGCTCTGGCTGTATGTGCCATCTTGACTGTAAACAATGAGCTCCATCTTGAATTGGGTCCTCAGCATGGATTCTGCCAGGCATTCTTTATCCTGCTTGATGGCTTCGATCTTAGTCTAAGAAAGTATATAAAAGATTTGTTATGGTAAGCTCTAGTGAGAATTTCTTTAAATTTGTATTATGATTCAATGGCATTTCAATTGAACATTGAAAAGTAATGTGACTTTTATCATTTAGAGCATTTATAAAAGCTCATAGAATGATTGTTTAACCACTTGAAATTTGAGTACTGCCAGGAACCAGTAGCAGCTCCTGACTATAAATGAAGGTGGGGAAAATGACGTGTCCTAGCACTAGCTTATGGTGCTTATAAATGTAGTATTCATTGCATTCGACTGTTGATTTAGAATGTTACGAGTTGTAAAAGAATTTTAGAGAGGAAGAAAAGGTCATTTTGACTCGGAACAAATGTAAAACACAACAACAGAAGTATACTAGCTGTTCACATGAGCATGTTTGAAATAAAGGAGTAATTATACTATAGTAGTATACTAATTTCTCCACACATTGACCTGTCCTCTGTTAAAGAAGACTGAATGTGATCTCAATCTGACTTATCGGTACTAGTTACTGAACTAATGCAGACTGATATACTGTACACATTGATGAAGTGGACTGATATTGTTTTGGTCCAGAGCTAGGTTTAATTAATGTAAAAACAAGATTCAAATCTACCCCTACAGCTCTCATTTATGGTACACTGCATTTCTATTTAGCACCATAGATTTATATTGGAAAAATGTAGGTCACTGTTGAGATGGGAGGGCAGCAGCACCCTTTCGTACGATCAAGAAACTGAAATGTAGTCTAGAAACTGCTTAACACTTTTACAAGTTAATTTATTACTGATTCAGTTTATATAGAGCTCTGCTTTCTAATGCCCCGCCTGGCCCAACTGATGAGCTGCGGCTGCCAGAAACATTGCCATAAACACACATAAACCTACCTTTGCTATTTTCAGAAGATTAGGGAACCCAATGAAACTGCACTGGGCCAGCTGGATGGACTTCCTTCTAACCACATCTGTAAATGCAAACAGAATGTTCATTCATTCATTCATTTTTGTCATGAAAAACTGCACTAATGACTAAAGAGCTACCTTTAAGCAATTCACAATGCCTTTAATACAAGAAAAATCCACCTGGCGCAACCTTGGGTTACATGCCTTACTCAAGAACAGAATGTTGAGTTCATGGGTCATCTTACAAGGTGTTCTTTGATGTTCAATATTCAGTGATTTTGATTTTTGAAGTTTCGACATAATTTAGTCATGTACTGAGTATAATCAAGTAGAACAGTACTGTCAGAATAGCTTTACAACATGCACTGTAGCAACAACTTAAAAATGCATGAAAAAAATGTATTTAAAATATCATACAACACAAACCAGAGACAGTCTTCAGTGTCTTCAATGCAGGTTTCTCCAACAGCTTGATCTGTTCCTGAACAAGCCCCTCAAAGGTCTTGTAATTGATGAATCCTGGAAGCTCTCTTCCTCGATACTTGGTTTCATAGTTATCCACTTCTTTCTCAATCCTCCTGTTGACTGCAAAGGGGTTTTTGAATACAGATAACTACATTCAGTTGAACAGCCGAATAGCTGAGTTCAGCTTCTAAAAGTGTGTTTTAGTGAAATTAAGCAACTTAGATTACGTTAGAAATTTAGTTTGGTAATTAATTGTTTGCTACTCTGCTAAAAGGGGACGCTTCTGATGTTAAAATGTTAAACCTTTTAAGCAAAATCATAACATAGCGCACTGGCCAAAAGCAGCAGTACAATCAGAGGATACCAAGTAAATGTCTCACTCACAGGAAACTCCTGAACGATACAAGACATCATTCCATTCTGCAAATTCATCCCGAAGTTCTGGAAAAACTAGTAGATCTGAAGCACATTTAACTTCCTCCCCAGTGGTCAGGTTGAACATATCATGAGTGAAAGCTGTAACTTTCTAAATGTAGTGATGAGATATGAAAGATTAATTATTTTTTACTGAAATATTCATACTTTGATATAGTAGCTGTGTAGATTTCATGGTTGTGCTCACATCAATGAGAAAGCTCAGTCTTTCTGCAGGGTCTGATGGGGGTCCATTGCCATATGCCTCCAGTTCCTTCTGTGTTTCAGCAAGTTTTGTCTCGATTTGTTCTTCTAAACGAGGCAGGGATTTCTACATAACATATTATCAATATGAGCTAGGCTTATTATGAGTCAAAAAATGCTGTAGTTCACTTTTGTTAGAAAGAACAGATTCATTTCACCTGAATGTGATGAACCAACTCAATTGTTAGTTTCTCAGCCAATTTGGGAATAGTGGCAAAACCTTCGTCATAAAGTTTGCTGAGGAAAAAAATGCCATAAATACATAATGTAAGCTATTTTTAGAGTTAGATTAACTAAACCCCAAATAACAGGTACTAATCTGTGTGTGCAACATGTGGGCATACTACAGGTGATTTACAAAAGCAAAGCACCTAAAATGAGGATGATCTTTGAAGAAGGCATCTTCGGCTGCTGTGGCCTCATGGAGAGTGACTTGATCTATAATCTCTTTTTGTCCTCTGCACCTTACAATCATGTAGCCTTTAGTAAGGTGAATGACCTCATTGTGCACAATGTCTACAACTGTCTCTTCAGTGCCCTTATCCGCCAGATCCGGCTTTGTTAAGATGCCTGTAAATAGACAAATGATCAGAATATAATGAGAATATGCATGGCAACCTGTAGTTTTACTGACTCTGTTTGATGTATCCACCTTATTTTTAATGTAAGAGTGGACGTGGCCATTGCTAACTTGACTGTGCCAGATTTAGAGTGTCATTTTCATACAGATACCTGTGCATGTACAAAAACAGTCCATTATGTTGCTTGATATTGCAAACTGGTATTTATTATCATATTTTAATTCATTATCATAATCATAGGACACGCTTATTTGTAGTGGAAATAGTTTTACCTTTTACGGCACTTTGTTATTCTTCTAGTTATTCACCTATAGCAGCTGGTTAGTCGGACGTTTTGTACATTCAAAGAAAATAGCTTACTTCCGCATTCCAAAATAAGGTGGATAGCATTGAAATGCAATCAGTAATGCACACCTAATGTTCTTTCACCCTCAGGATCGTCCTTCTGAGCCATGTGTAATGCTTCTGTGGTTGCGATGTCAACATTGCATGGCACCACAACCAGGTTAATTGTTTCTTGCTTTGAAACAAACATCCTGATCAGTCTCTTTATCTAGAAGAAATGCATTTGATTGATGTATCAGTATCTCACTCACAAAGGTCTTTTTTAAAATAAAATGTCGTATGAAGAATATAGTAAACATAACGAGTTTACCTGATCTCCAATATTCTCAGGTTGCCCCTTGACTGCCACTCGTGCGATACCAGAGAGGTCAATGAGAGTGAGGTCAGGAACATTGGCAGAGGTGATCTGCAGACTGATAAGTTCGTCACTAATACCAACACCTTTTCCAGCTATCTCATCCTGGGCTACAAATTAGATATAAGACTTAAATTATACATACTCTTTTGTAAGATCTCCAGATGCATTCTAAGCATTCTCTTTACCTTCACAAATCATTTTGTCCACTTCTGCTGGGTCATGAATATCTTTCTCTTTTTTATTGTAGCTGATTCTTCCATGCCATTTGTCTTCATCTTTAGTTCTTATCATCTTGAGCTCAAGAGGGCATCTTGTAACAATTCCTATACAAAACACGAAAGGGTGCAAACATTGTTTCACCATGCTGTTCTTTGAAGTACCTTACAGTACCATTTATCCTGCTAAAAAAAACACAGAAACCATCACAGAAATTCTACAACAAATACCATTACAATCCATCAACTATTAAGCATTAAAACCATAAAAAATTGTTACCTGTTTTGGAACATATTCCATTAGGATTTAGTAGTTTTAACAAGCCACCAATAGAAGGCGACAAGAGACCCACAGGGACCACTACAGTTTACATTAAAACCAGTAAAACCATTACAAATTCTGTGATGGTTCCTATTGTTTTTTCAACAGGGTAAACTCCAAGGGTAATAATTCAGTATCATGGTATAGACTCTGTCATGGTACATCCACAGCATTGGCTGAAATGTCTGTATTACGTAAAAGTAATATAATCAGAATCAGAATCAGAATGAGCTTTATTGCCAGGTATGTTTACACATACGAGGAATTTGTTTTCGTGACAGAAGCTTCCACAGTGCAACAGAATGACAGTGACAGAACAAAAACACAGATAATACAACAACAACAAAAAAATTATGTTTTATATATATTTATTTTATCATATGTTGTCCTTACCACTACCCCTGGGTAACGCTACTCCAGACAGCGCCTCGAGAACTGAACTCTTTCCTGAGCTTTGGTCTCCAATGACGGCGATGGCAGGCAGTGCCAGGTCCTTTTCGACTCCCAGAGACCGTAAATTGTCGATAGTGTCGATGCAAGGACGTATTTTTTCCTCATATTGCTGACTGAACGTGTAACTCATTTTCTCCATCTTTAAATAACATCGAAATATCAAAATAACAGAAATCCTTCTTTCCACAACACGACAAAGTGTCAGACGCTGTGCACTCGTTTTGAACTAGTTTCAGAGTGATGATGTTTCTTGTAAGGTGAATCATAGACCGGATGTGTACGTTGGTAAGTTTCATTTCCTAGATAGTACAATAGTTTCGTTTCTCTCATGCATGGTTTCATCGTTCAATAAATGGTAAAACAAAAGAAAATCATATCGTAAGGTTTATTGTACGGTATAGACAAAGTGCGTGGTAAAATAAAGGCTTAATTTGTTTGCATCATCCTTCTACATAGACTACAGATGAACACATAGCTATCATATATGTGACCCCTGGACCACAAAACCAGTAATAAGAATCATTTTGTTGAAATTGAGAGTTATACATCATCTGAAAGCTGAATAAATTCCTTTCCATTGATGTATGGTTTGTTAGGATAGGCCAATAAGATACAACCATTTGAAAATCTGGAATCGGAGGTTGCAAAAAGAAAATGGAGAAAAGTCGCTTTTAAAGTGGTCCAAATGAATTTCTTAGTTTCTTTTGACACATACAATCAGTGTTGGGGAAAGTTACTTTTAAAAGTAATGCATTACAATATTGCGTTACTCCATAAAAAAGTAACTAATTACGGTACTTAGTTACTTTTTATGGAAAGTAATGTGTTACGTTACTTTTGCGTTACTTTTTAAATCTGGACAGGGCTTGCTTGTTTGTTTTTAAAATAAAAAAGTTATATTTTTGGCAAATATAAAAGCCTTTTCACACCAAAAGTGAAATGAATAAGCCTCAGGCTGAAGGGAAAGTAAATTTACGTCCGTACAGTAGAATGCAGAAGAAGAAATGTCAACACACATCAGCAATAAAAAAAAAAACACAAATGTTTGTCTAGAGTCATTTTTGCTTATTAGTATGGTTGAACTGGATCACCGAAGGTCAGAAGCAAAGACATTGGTTAATAGAATGGGATTAAATACATAAAGGATATTTGTCTTGTTTAACATTTAATTATTGCATGTTTGTGTCAAATTTTGAGTTGCATTATTTTTATTCATTTTGAGGAATACTGAATTTGTGTGTAATGATACCCATACTGTGCTGCACATTATTGGCAATATTGAGCTGAAGCTTGACTTTGCAAATTTAAAATCGCAAATCAAATCGCAATCGCAATATCTGTCAAAAAAATCGCAATTTGATATTTTCCCCCAAATCGCACAGCCCTAATTTGTATAAACAAATGAAGAAACAAATGCTACAAGTTTATCTGGGCCTTAGGAATATAAATTTTCTTTAATATCTGAAATATCCTCTAGAGGGGGGTGTGTATCTGTAATCAGATATGTGAAAAGAGCAGCACTGTTAGGTTAGGTTAGCTCCAACCCTAATCAAACACACCTGAACCAGCTAATCATTGTCTTCAAGACTACTAGAAGGCTACAGGCAGGTGAGTCATATCAGGGTTGGATCAAATCTCTGCAGGAAAGTGGCCTGGAAGGGCCAAGTTTGCCCATCTCTAGCAGGTCCTCTGACCATGACCATTCAAGCACCAGGAATAAGTGATCTGAGTTTAAGTTTGAACCCATATATGCTGTACCATAACCTAAGAAAAAGCATTTAAAAGTTAAACCAATTTATCCTAGAACAGCTGAAATTAATTCCCTTTTAGCTCACTCTTGGCAAATGCAAATTCTTTCATTTTACAGGTCATCACATCATTTTTAGCACTGTAAACTGGTGTGAAAGGACAGGAATTCTTCTGTCAATATATTGTGCTCTGCATAGCTTCAAACTATGAAGTTTTCATAAATTGTTACAGAAAAAATTATAGCAGTTGTTTATGCTGTTTGTTTGCCAAAACTGCTTCAAAGAAGTGTTTTAATTCATTTCGTGCTTTCATTTGGACCATTTTACTTCCCAAAACCAGCAAGGCATAAGTTCAAAGTAATGCACCGAGCTCAGCTCAGCGCCTTTGAGAACTGTTAGTATCACCGGCTGTTTGACCAGTGTTTATTGACCAGAACATATTTTCAGGGACATTGAAAGATGTTGTAAATATTGTTAGAAATGAGCTTTTAAAATATTTATTCTGTGTCAGATATTTCCTATTACATCTAGAGTGTTGAAGAAGATTTATCATGACCGTATTTGATCGTGTGACTTTTTACATTAGCTGGTTCTCAAAGCACATCCCAGCCTCAATATTAGGCCTCGCATGCTGTACTGTGGTTGTATGCGTCTTGAAAGTCAGGAGCTGAAACAAGCCATCCTGAAGTTTTTGTTCGAGTGGCGTGGAAACTCATATTGATCATATTTTGAATCCACAACAAAGCTTTTAAATTTAATTTACATTTACACCACTGACAGATGCTTTTATCCAAAGTGATTTGCATTGCTCTTAAGATCCTTTTTTTTCCCAATGCATGCATTCCCTGGGAATCGAACTGATGACCTTGGCATCAGTAGCACCATTTCCCACAGTTTGACCTAGTAGGTTCATGCACTTTTGCCATGTTTTTTAACAAATGTTAAAAACTATGGTGCATAACCACAGAATAAAATTATGAACTGTGTTGTGCATTGCCCTTATCTGTTATTTGCAGGACACTCTTGCAATTTTAGCAGCTAAGCAGTCGTTCTTATTCAGTATTTTTAGACTCCTTAGACTTTTAGACTCTATAAACATCACAATAATCCGTGAGTAATCCACATGACTCCAGTCCATCAGTTAACATCTTGTAAAGTAAAAAAGCTGTGTTTCTAAGAAACAAATCCAACAAGGCATTTACATTTAAATCATTGCTTCTTTCCAAAAAAAATTCTATAATCTATAATAACACTTAATAAATGTCCATCTCCTGTTGTCCTTCCACATCAAAATCCACCAACATATTTGTTTAAAACGGTTTTGAAAAGTTTTTGCCTGAAACCCGTGCTTCATCTGTGCATATTTCTCACCTAATTCAGAGAAATAAAAAACATTTTGATGGATTTGTTTATTGAGAACATGCAGCTCTTTGCTTCACAAGATGTTAATTGATGGACTAGAGTCATGTGAATTAATTGTGGATAATTGTGATGTTTTTATCAGCTGTTTGGACTCTCATTCTGACGGCACCCATTCACTACAGAGGACCCATTAGTGAGAGATAATTCACAAGTTTTTTTTTTTTTTTGAGCTCTTTTGCGTATGAACTAATTTTTTTTTTTTTCAGAACCTGGCTTTTTTTTTTTTTTTTTTAAGTCTTAAGTGTAAAGTTTGCAATGCCACACTTTCTGTTCACAGATGATATTTTTGACACACTCTGAACCATATGTGCTTGAGTAACCTACAATGTCCAGTCTGTTATGACTTGAATCTTTCCCATGCAAATAAAACGCACACACATACACACATCTTCCCCTCATTGAGACATGCTTCCTTCCTTTTCCCAGATGCTTTTGTATGGAGAGCCACCCAGTTATTTAAAAAGTCCATTAGGCACTTGTTTAGAGAGCCTGAGATTAAAAATAACAAAAAACAGGCCTAGAGTTCAACGTGCTATAGCATCACATGTCGTATGCTGTATGTTTGAGCATTTGCACAAAAATCGGGAGAGAGAAAAAAAAAAAGAAATGCCAGGAATTAAAAACTGCTTGCAAAGACATTTCTAATGTCTAGTTCAAAGTTATTATCTAAAAAGGTCAAATCAACTTTAACAATGGAAAGAAGGCTAGTCTAAGCACATGGCCCTCCTCAAGGGACATTTTTATCGTCAAGCATGTCAGAGCTTAATCAGAGCTGAATTTGACATACACCAGGAGTGTTGTTTTTTCTTCGTTGTTTTCCTTTCTTTTACCACAACCCAAAAGAAATACATAATGACATTACTTTTATAACCTTTGTCACTACCAACAACATATTTAAGAAATAGCATCAATTTTGTCTTTCTTTATGCTTGATGCACAAGTTCGGCTTTTAAAAACAACAGACTACATAATCCTGCCTGTGCATGTTTCCATTTCCGTTCTTGCTTTAGCTTTGTTCTACTTGATTTTAGTGCTAACTAACTAAAGTTAATGCATGATAATGGTAATGCATCCTTTCCAACAATTTATCATAAGAATAAACACTGCTACAGTTCATTGTAGCATATCGTACTTCTTTACACTGTTGTCGCCCACCACACACTGAGTGAAGGTCCCTCAGTTGCCTGGCATCATAGATGCTGGCAGGCTGAAAATGGGAGGCATGACATAGTCCAAGAAGCATGAAACTGTCTCACCCACGCGCTCCTGCCTGATGTAGCCCACGGAGACCATGTTCTCCTTCATATTGAGACTTGTAGCTACCTCTAAGCTGAAACGTCTTCCTCTATTTGTGCCTTCGTTTGGTCACTTTGTCAAAATCTCGTGAGTGAGATCACCACTTTTGGCTTTAGTGATGTCTGTGCATCTGGACAGGCGGTATTTTTATGCATTTGTTAACCACAAGCTGTTATTTCTTTTTATTAGAACATGAAACACCTCATTCGTTGGCTTCGTTATGTGTGCGCAGGACTATTTTTTCGTGATTTATGCGATGAATATGCAAAGCCACGCATTAAAAGAATTCTCTCCTGATTAATCACTGTTATACTGTCATAAGTCATTTGCAATAACAACTGCCAGTTTGACTCTTGAGAACCTCTATGCGAACACACTTGCCCGAAAAAGTGCGGGGGACGAATTTACGTGATATTAAAAGTGGGGGGGTAATCTACGCCCCTGCTGTGTTCCTTCAGAAATTATTCTAATATGCTGATTTGCTGCACAAGAAACATTTACTATCAATGCCGCTTCATAATTTTGTGGTTGTTTGACCATAATGCAATGCATTACATCAGAGAGTGCAAATCTGTGTTTTTGCCCCTGTATGCGCTCTGTATTTGTTTGCATGTGAACGCTATTTTTGTAGGCTACAGTCACTGCACATCAACACTGCAATTCGTATTCAGATTTAGGGTCAAATGGACACTTGTGCTTCAGGGCAACAGCTCTTTCAAACTGCTGAGTTATAGTCC